TCATCTTTTAATATTCTCAACACATACCCCATGCTCCTATGCTAGCCTTGGTCGATTATTAGGGAATCAACGTCGTTCTGCTTTACTATCCTTTACTACCAGTAATGAGAACATCGAACATCTATATAAATGCAGAGTTGATTTGCTCAGAGCAATTCTTAAACAACAGCTTCTTGCTCGAGGCCCTGGCGCCAAGCGGCTAGCTAGTCGCGCTGCCTGGTTGAGCAGCTGACAACGTTTCAAGAAAGTTTCAGCGCGCTGTTTCATCTCTTTCTTTCCAACAGACTGCTCTGCTGTGTTTCACGCAGTCTTGTGTTTCGAATTGTCTTCTTCAAAGAAGACCACAAGGACCTGATCGCTTATTTCCAGCCTCGCGGCGGTCTGGCAATCGGGGTGCCTTCGCCGCCTCCGCCCGGGCCTCAGGCCGATTCTCACCACTTAGCATCGAAGGCAGGTGTACATAGGTGTACCGAAACGCTTGGAACATGCTAACAGCTAACAGCATGGAAAACGTGATGTTCTTCCCAAGCGCAGCTTTTTCAAAGGGACAAGTTGGGACATTTTGGGACTTGGGACATGATGTCTTGTCTCCTCCAATTCTTCTGATTGTTGCCTTTCCTATCGGTCTGCAGGACATGAATCTTTTGGGATGCCATGCGGAGGCTGCTTGACACTGTAGAAAGTCGAAGAGGTCCGGCTTTGGTGGAAGACCCAAATGCCAGGCCTCAAGAACGCCAACTGAAAACATGTCTTGTTTTTGCCCAGAAGTGGTGCAATCTGAATCAATCTGAAATGGTAGTCTTCCAGTTTTGCTTCTGAATACAGCAATGTGTTTGAACATCCTCTGCGGTTGACCCGAGCTTGCCTCCTTTCCACGTCGAAGCCAGGCCTCCTCAATTCGTTGCTCCACCTGGTGTCGGAACAAGTTCTACAGCAATGTCATTGCGACAGGAAAGTAAAAGGTGTTGTCTTCCTTCTCTTTGTGACACTGAGCTGGTGGGATGGAAGCACAGGCATCGAACTTTGGGACTTCTCTCAAGGTAAGTTTCGATGGGTGCCGACAAAAGAAACAAAAGAGCTCATTGACTCCTTCCTTGGGTATTCGCTCTTTGTTCAATCACAAGTTTAAATTGACCCGCGAGAAGTGGCATGCCAATGTGGCCTGATCCCAAGGCCACTGCTGGCCTAGTAGCTCTCCTCCGGACTCTGTCATTGATGTGCTTGGGTGTCTTTTACCACTGGCATCATGTTGGTTGATGCTGAGAGCATGGATTGTGACTCTTGGAAACGTTGATCCTTGCAAATTAAGCACCACAATGCAAAGTGCCGTCCTGCATTGGCAAGGCCAAGGCACTTTACTAGTGCTCCAAAGCCTCCAGCCTCGGAGCTTCAACCGAACCACCTCTCTTTTGGCGATGCGATCATCCGCATGAGTCTTGATCATCTGTCAGCCCTCCATATCATTATATACTATGACTATGAAATACGATTAATAGGTCTGCATCAATGAGCTGTTCTTTTAAACTTGTGGTCTTGAGCCACTTGCCAAACCCTGGAAGGCCACTTCACGATCCTCTACCTGCAAAGATGCCAAACTGCACATTCATTCATTAATTGGTTTTCATCATCAGCACAGGTTCCAAACATGGACCGCAGCGAACATGCCTAACAATCCCTCTGAACAGCTTCCCACTGAATGCCGTGTTCTCGTTCGCGCCTTCTCAGGCTTTCCCTTTGATGCTCGCACCTCAGCCATTGTCGCGAAATGTGGCAGGAGCTTGAAGCAGCAAAACAGCCAGCATAACTCAAGAACGTAGCACGGAGACCCTACCTTGCGCGTTTTTTTCATGAGTCAACATTCAAGTCATGTCTGGTTGCTGCGCTCAATCTCGATCCCGGACGCGCCCACGGGGGAGTTCCTTTTCGAGCAAGTCCAAGCGCAAAGAGAGGCCTTGCCACCAATCGAGTTGCATTGAGTTTTGTCACACCGAACCCTTTGCAAAGCTTTGCTTGGAAAAGGTCTGAGTCACTTTGTGACTCGCTTTCAATCCCTCAGGGTCTTGCTTTGAGGCAGCACTGTGATCTTGATTTTGTTTACAGCATGCTAGCACGGAACTACAAATCCTTCAGACAGCGTTGTCTCACACTCCCGCTTTGGACGATGCCTTCAACGTTTTCTTGACACCCCTGGGAGACCTCAGCTCAAGCTGTAGCAGTGTGACTCTTTCTGCAAGCATGGCAGCTAATTTGTCCATAGAAACGTTCTTCCATGGAGATGAAAAAGAATCTATATCTTATGATATCTTTTGTGTATACAATAAGAGCTATTGGGTTGGAGGCCATCGCTATTAGGTTGGGGGCCATGGCTATTAGGTTGGAGGCCATTGCTTCTAGGTTGGAAGCTATTAGGTTGGAGGCAATGCAGTCTGGACAAAAGCTGGGCTTGGAACTTTTGTAATCCTCTGTTCGGATTCCTCCTGGCAAGCGACAAGCTGGGCTGAAGGATGTGAATACAGTTTGGTCCTCAAAACCCAGCTGCCTGAGATTCGAGGATGAATTTCTGCATGGATTCGGCCATTCTGAGGAGCTGTTGGTCGACAGCCTTGACACTGTTGGTCGATGTATCTCCAAACTCACAGCAGCCCATGCGGCATTAAGTGGTTCTTTGGCAGTCTTTTTCCCAGGTCTGGCATGTTTGAATATCATTCACAACAGCTATGCCGCAAATGCCTCTGCAAACTCCGCAAGTTCTTCTTGAAAAGTCTCACGACCTCTCGTGCACCAATGTGCGTACGCGATGCTGGCTCCAGGCTCAACTCTCAACACAGCTGAGTTTCCGTCTACATCTAGGAATCGTTTTGATCATGCGAACAGTTCTTCAAGGAAGCTTCTCCCACCCTCAGGAGGGAGTAGTTTACAGAACCTTCCTTTTCTCTGCCTACTTGTTCCTCCTACCATTCTTATGCTACTTAGATCGTCTTGGATCTACTTTACTCCGCAGGTCCAAAGGTTCAAAGCCAAAAACAAGGAAACCTTTTGCACCTCCTCCAAAAAAACAGGTGTGTCACCTGTAGGTGTCCAGCCTCCGTGCTCCGCTGGCGCACCTTTCTCCTGGAGGGGTCGGCTTCAGGTTAATCAACTGTCATACAGAAACTCCGATTGCATGGACTGTAGTCGTCCCTAAATAGACGGAAACGGTTTCCTGTACATGTTTAGTGAGGATTTACTTTTCTATCTATTTGGGGGTCTTGGGTCTATCCTAATACCTGGAACAGTGGATGATGATGGTTAGTAAAGGCCTTGTTCAAACATAGTAATAATTGTTTACTGACTGTTACAGGTAATAGGACAAACCCAATGGGGGTCTATATAAGCATCTGGATTGCCATGGAGATCCGCCCATTGGCCAGTTTCTCCTGGGAGCTTGGTCGGTCTCTAAGCTCTTCTTGTAGCTTACCAATCCAGGCCTTGATTCGATTCGGGTGGGTTGCAGGCAGCACTCGCAAGATGTGCTTACAATGCTGTCAAACAGCAAGGCATACTTCCACAAAGCGACAAGATGCATCTGCTACACAGCAAACAAAAGCAAAAACGTGCTGTCTTGCCTTCACCTCTGTTTTCAGCGAGGTAGACATGTTCATCACCTCCTACGCTGAACTGCTCAGGCCAAAGAGCAGCTCAAATGAAATGAAGGGGGATGGCAGGAGTTGCTGACAGACTTCAGTTCTACAAGAAACACATTAAAAGACTGCAACCTCAAACAAACAGGTCGGCTTCAGGAAAAGAACACATGAGAGGATAAAAGTAAAAGTCCTAGCTGTTGTTAAACAGGTCCAACTACATACCCCAGTCAGGAAATGACCAGATCTGATGTTTTTCTACGGCGGTGCTCAGCAACATCCTTTCATTCGAGACTCTTTCAATCACCAAAGTCATCTATTAGCGAGCGTCTTGGTGTAGTTAGTTGGGAACCGTGTAGTTTAGGGAACCAAAAACGAGAAAGAAAGGTATCTTCAGCGAAAAATAAGGACACAAAGGCAAGATCAACAAAATTCCCCCGGGAGTCGCCTCTTGCAGCTCTGAGCAGCATGCGGCTGCAGCTTCCTTGACCGCCACATTGGGGTAAACACATGCTAAACACTGGACACTGAGGGATGCAGTGCGCCAACACAGATGCAGCGTGATGAATCTATGCCAGTCATGGTAGACCTGAAGATTGCAGAGATGCTGATCCGCCGAGGGGGAAGGTTTTGACCCGCACCCCATGCCAATCAATTGATATTGATTGAACACTCACAATAAAGACTAATAGCCAAATGCATACTGTACAGTACATGTTACATGTTACAGCTGGATAGCTTTTCCAAAGTCGACTCCACGCTGTCGTAATCCTTCCTAATCCATTCCCGCTGGCCTGCGCCAGTGCTGCAGCCTCTTTGGCAGCAGTGCTAGAAGCCTCAAGTCAAGACTCAACGAACTTATTGAATGACCTCAGGTGTGTGCGCCCAACCTGCTTTCATTGGGCCAACACAATCCTTTCTCCCTGATGCTCCTGAAGACACCTAGAGCTCAACCGAGTCAGCACGCCCTTTCTGCCTCTGCCCACTTCTAGTATTGCATGTCCGGTCCAAGCACTGTGGCTTGAGACCCCATTGCATGATTGTACCCCGTGCGTCGTCTTGAATCTTTGCATCGTGCGAAACTTACAGTAGATCATTTGTGTGGCTGAGTTTGCTTGGCACAGCAGCATTCTATCATACATATCATGTACATTGTGAATAATTACATGTAGTTTGAATATCTTTGAATGCATTCGAGCTCAATCACGTCCACACCTGGCTGCTGCGCTGTCCAAGAGCCTTGATCTTAGCTCTTACCGCCAGCCAGAATGCAATAAAATTCAATATGGCACTATATGGCAAACGGGAAGGACAAACAGAGACTCCCAGTCCATCCTCCAAAATGCAAAATAAGTAGTGCGTTGGCCCGATCTAGTTAGGTCAGGTTTTGAGTAGTTTCATGCTGCTTAGCTTTGACACGAACTTCTTTGCAATCTTGGGCTGTAAGTTGGCAAAGTTTGTGTCCTCAACGAAAACCGTCGCATGCTGCGCAGCAAATGCGATGCATATGTCCTGGATGTATCTCATCATTGACATCACTGCTGTATCCATCACAGCGGCATCTTGATCTTCAGGACAGGCAGTCAAATTCAACACGCCGCATACATTTGACAACGTAAGTCCTGTCCAATAGTCTCAAGAAACAATGCAGTTGTAAAACAATGCGAGACTATTAACAATTTCTTGCACCAAACTTTTTGTCACCCCAAATATCCTTGCTTGACACAGTCAGACGCCAAGGTCAGCAGATCCATGTTGATGCAATGTTCCAGAAACGAGCACAAGTTCTCACTGTTCACGCTTCTTCGTAATGCACTAGCACACAGCCCTTGCAAACCAGTCTCATCTCCGTATTCATCGGCAAGCTTAAGCAGCTCCAGAAGGGTTTGGGGATCCGCACCTTCTACCTCATCCTCATGTAAGTACTTGCCATAGGCTTGAATGGCCTTCCATGAATAGTTCTGAATCTTGAGTTCGACTCGGCCATCCTCCAGCTTGTGTACATGATCCATCTTGCTATTTTGCACCATCTTAGTCAAAAATAGTGAGCGAAACCGGATTGTATCCCACCCAAAGTAAATGGGTGTTTTCTGGTCTTGCACAAGAATGCAAATGTCGCAAGCATCCGGAAGATCAAAGGGTGCACGGTAGCGCTGCGTCACTGGCTGCATGCACACAAAGCGAGAGCCAACCACCAACGATTTGGACTCCCACGGCAGAAAGTCCTCGATCACATGACGGCTGCCCAGCAACTCGTTTGCTGCCCCGGCAAGATGAAACACTCCGTGCTCGTCCATCAGCACAGAAACTTCCAGCATGGGGTTGGCGAAAATGTCGATGACACGACCCCTGACCGTTTCTGGCAGTTTGACTTTTGAATAGTTGTGACTCGACCGCAAATGAGCGCCCAGTTGACCTATCTGTCCAGACCCACAGCCATAAAGATCACCTATTGAAGACAAGAATAGCGAATGATTAGAGCCACAGCAAGCTTTGACGATCTGCTCGCTGCATCCCAGGCATTTGGGGGTAAAGGTGTTTTGCCCACCGTTCCCGCATTGGGCATAGTCACCATTTCCAAAGGTATGCAATGACTCCTGCTCGCATATCACAACAGAATGCCATCTCCCACATGCAACAAAAGTTGCAAATCTCTGAGAGCCTGCGTCCGTCTGTAGTGATACTACCGCCTGGCCCAGCTCTTGCACAGGACTGGTATTTCCGAGCCCAAGCTGACCATATTGATTGGAGCCACAAGGGTAGACCTGCCCATCTGTAGTCAAAGCCAAATAGTGCTCATCGCTGCAGGCAAGCTGGATCACCTGCTGGGCGCTTCAACATGTGATTTGCCAAGTCTTTTTGGCTACTGCGCACTGATTTCTTGCCAGAAAACCGTTTTTCCCCAAACAGTGTGGACACACTAGAGATTCTTACGGTAATAATTAAGCGTCGGTGTCAAATCGAGGTGTTGCACCGACGTGTCCGGCTCGCTGCTATTTACAGTGCTTCATGCCTCTCGAAATCCTCCAAGTGCATTTCGACTGCGCAGGCTCGCAAAAGCAGCGCTTTTGACACATGATGGTGATCTTCGACGCGCTCTAATTTCGTGACAGGTGCAGTGAATCGTGACTTTTTTGTGCATGTGGCTCGTTTTCAGAAATCGTTGCAGACGAACACTTTGTGAGCCTTGAAGCGGTGAACCTCCATGTGCAGATTTCGTTGCAGGCGCAGCACTTTGTGAACCTCGAAGTGCAGATTGCGTGGCGTGCGCAGTACTTTGTGCACCTCGAAGTGCAGATTTCGTGGCAGGTGCAGCACTTTGTGAGCCTCGAAGCACAGATTTCGTGGCAGGCACAGCACTTTGTGCACCTCGAAGTGCAGATTTCGTAGCAAGTTGAGCATTTTGTGAACCTCAAAGCGCAGATTTCGTGGCAGGCACTGCACTTTGTGAACCTTGAAGTACAGCACTTTGTGCTCTCAGATGCCTCTCACTCTCTCTGACTCTCACTCTCGCCTGCCACACTCACACACACGTACGCTCACTCTCATTCTACTCTGGTCTCTGACTCTCACCCTCACTCTCACTCACTCTGACTCACTCTCACTCACGCTCTCACCCACCCACTCCTCTCGCTCGCACTCTCTCACTCTTTCACTCTCACTCACTCACTCTCACACCCACACTCACACTCACTCACACTCACACTCACTCTCACTCTCATCACTCTCACTCTCATTCTCACTCTCTCTCTCTCACTCTCTCTCTCTCTCACTCTCGCGCTCTCGCTCTCACACGCTCACTCTCACTCTCACACGCTCACTCTCACTACTCTCATCACTCTCATCACTCTCACTCTCACTCTCACTCTCTCTCTCTCTCTCTCTCGCTCGCTCTCCCTCTCGCTCGCGCGCTCTCGCTCTCACAGGCTCACTCTCACTCTCTCACTCTCACTCTCTCACTCACCCTGACACTCTGTTTCACTGACTCTCACTCTCACTCTCACTCACACTCACACTCACCCTGACACTCTGTCTCACTCACTCTCACTCTCACTCTCAATCTCACTCACACTCACCATCACCTCTCTGGACCCCAATGCGTCTAGATCTCTAGACTTTCTGCTGCTACACCTCTAGACCTCACACACACTGTTTGGTGTCTCTTGCCCGGATAATTTCTTGATGTTCAAGTTGTTTGGCATGACTTCATTTTGCAAGTTTTTCTGGACATCATGCCAGTGTGCCATGAGGTGTCAAGTCGCACCTTTTTGGATGGTAAGAGCCGAAGCATCTCAGATCCAGTTGCATGCATCGAGAACAGTTCCAGCGTGTGATTCAGCACCAAAGCCTCAGAAAGGCACCGAAGCCGCAAGGTTCACAGGCACACCTACTTTGAGGTGCGTGACCAGTCAAGTTTCCACAGTAAAGCTATTGAGCAACATTCAAAACCAAATCGGTCATTCAGAAGCGCCTCCTGGGCTGTCCCAGTGATGTGCACCGATGTAACATCTTGTCGCCTCTGTGCCTGAAGCTCCCAAGGCCTTGGCCTTGTCCCGCATGATAGGATCTCTTGTGGCGTGCTTTGATCAGCTTTCAAGCCAACACCGAAGAGCTTGTCGTCCTTACCTAGGAACACAAGCTTCTCATCGAGGCCAAATCGGTGCACAACCATCTTCATTCCCCTCCTGCCATGCCAGCAAGTGTGTTCAACAATGAAGTCACTTCACATGTTCCATGCATCGTGCCTCAGGACTCCAATTCTCTGGCCTTTTGCACAACCCATAGCTGATAACTGCTACACACATCAACTATTGCTGCCTTTGGTTCCCAAGTCTCCCACACCTCAGCTGCTGCAACAGCGAATCTTTCACTGAGCTCTTATCTTCGTAGGACAGGCCCTGAAGCAAGAGGATCAAAATGAATGGCAACCAATTCAATCGTGTCAATTAATGTCCAAAAATATCAACAGTTTCTATTCTATATATATAAATCTATATAATATGTATATACTACAATGTAATATTCGGAGCCTCCAACATGGGTGCAAATGACAAAGGCGTCACCATCATGGATTGCCACTTCGATGCACCGGGCGCAACCCGCCGAGACAAGACGCGCTTCGGGCCCTTCGCAAATGAGAAAGGCTGCAGGGCGCACAAACAATGCCGAACAGCAGTCGAATCTGCTACTGCTTATGCAAAGTGTGCTGGACAAGAAACGGCCATCAACATCTTCAACTCGCTTTAACAAAAGACTCCAACTCCTACAATCGTTTGGGCTCTGGCAAACGCTGCAAGTTCTTTCACTTCGGCCTGTCTTTGGATCGTTGGACAATGGAGGCGACCGTTCGAAAGGCTTGGCACAAACGAACGGAATCCATTGAGTCCAACTCAGTGCCAACAAGGTTTCTTCAGTGAGGACGTTCATAATCTTGCATATCATATATACAGTATTAGACAATTTAACGCGGCTCGAAAGCACCCAGACCTACCTACAAACATCCAGATCCTGCTTTTTTTCCTACGAATGGCTGTATCCACGAGGGGCGCTCTTTTCCAATTCCCATGCAGGCGCCTCCAAAGCACACAGCCTTGCCTGAATGCATACCCCACGCCAAAAACTTGTGTTTCAGGGGGGTCAACCCCTGGTGGTATGGCATTCTGCTCTTGAAACATGAATGTTGTTCCCTGGACAAACCTCATTTTGGCAACCCCGTCTTAAATTTTGTCCACCCAAGCCCAGGCCAAAAGAGCTTGTGCAAGAATTTGTGACCTATGAGGCAGCCATACCTCAGCCATACCTTCATGCATTTCTCGGCAATTTCCAAGTCTTCAGTTGTTCCTCTAGTGGTCCCAAAACACAACGAGCTTGGGTGTCGGAACATGGCTTGGCGTTTCTTCTTTTCTTGGATCACTGAATATTTCAAGTCGGCTTTCGGTCCAGCCTTCAATCCATTGCCCTCCTTTGGCAGCTTCGGCGGCCTGGATGGCTCTGGTTCCTGGACATCATGGTTTTTTGATGTGGCCGTTCTGTCTAGTGTACTTCTTTCTGGCAGCAAATTCTGAGACATATTCTGGCACTTTGGGTATACACATGCATTCACATGCACCTAATTCTTCCATTTCAGTTGCAAACTTGTGGTGCTTTTGGTAAAACTAACGCTGAATATAGTCCAAATCTTTCATGGCTTTTTGCATCTAGAGGCAGTCCTGCACCTCATGGGTTTCATCTGGAACCTCTGCGCCGTAGCTGCTATCAACCTTCGCTGAAGCGGCTTTCGACCACCAGAGTCATTACCCTATGTTGACCTCCGTCCAGATGGCGCGCCCTCCAAACCAAGCTTCTCTTCGTGCAGGTCATTAGGGCAGTCTTTCTCGCCGACCATCCAAGCTCCAGGAACCAAGAGCGAGCGCCCTGCGCCGCACCGCGCCTCCACGCCCGAACCGGTCTCCGTGGCATCCTCGAGTCACGGGAGCTTGTGAGCTTGCACCTTTGAACATGATTCCCCGCGCTGCCGCACTGCAGCACAAAAAAGGACAGAATTAATCCAACACCACCGACAAGCTCCAGGCTGTTTTAACTGGTCCGTCTTTTTGTTTGTGCCACAGTTCGAGCATTGTAAATGGTCCTCTGGCGATGCTGTTGATGGTGTCTGTGGCCTGCACAGCTCAGTTTATCAGCAAACATCTGCTATCTCGCGCAATCATCAAACTGAGCTTAACCACTAGAGTACTGGACTCCTGAACATGCAACTCACAAAAAGGAGCAGCACCACTTGAAGAAGAGTCCTAAACGTTGGGAGCATCCAACATCAACATACATCAACTCATGGGATCTCATTGCACCACCCGCCGGGCACCACCCGCTTCCTCTCCTTGAGCTGCGCTCCTGTCGTCAGCAAGGGGCCCTGAAAACATTTGATAACACATCTTTAAGAATTCTTTCAGAATATGCCTGATGTTGCTCTACTTACAATATCTTAATTACAATGTGATAAGGCACTACAAGTGTCATCTTTCATCATCTTTCAGTCTCCCGATGAGAACCATTTTGGTGCCTTCGGCGACCCGTTACACATCAGCTAGAATCGTTCCCGGTACTTCGTCGGCAAAGTCGGCAGGTCGTTGAATGGTCGTTGACTGTTTGATTGTGCAGAGATGATGACTGTTGAATACTGCTTCTATTTATCCCCCTGTTAGGGCTGGTGTGCAGCGACCGCGGGGTCAAAAACACTGGAAAACTGAAGGGCGGCCAACATATCACCCGAGACCGCAGAACAAAGACCTATATACTAAAGCAGCGGTTCATACCCTGCAGGTTATGAACCGCTGCTTGATAGCAGCTACATGCAGCTACAGGCAACCGTCCGTTCAACGAGCTTCTTCAAAGTAAAGGCCCACTACCTACCTCAATCTGCTGTGGCCACATCAGCATGCAGGTAACCACACCTGTCCAGCAAATGTATTCAATATATTCATACCCCTAAGATGTGAACCGCTGGTGCCCGCGTGTGGCGTGTCTAAACCCTCCTTGGGATCGTCCCTCGCTTGGCAAGCTTGGCGCGGCAGATCAGCTTCGTCTGAAGTATTGGACCTCAGATGCGTCAAGGGTGGCCAGCGCTGTAGCAGGTCACCGATACTGTGCGCAGGCTGACAGGCTGAGTCTATCACGGAGACTGGCCAGAAACTGGCGCAAGGAATGCCAGGTGCACAAGTGTGTCGTGTGTCGTGTGTGTGTCTACTTTAGGTCGCAACATTTGACAGTCTCAGGAAGAGTTCTTTGCTGACTTGCCCTTTCAACAAAAAAAGTAACTGGTTTTTTACACTCTTTAACGGCAACCAAGCAAACTCGCATAGAAAGTAAAGTGCAACATCAAAGTGCAGTGTAACATGATCCGATTGTTGGATTCGATATGGATTTGACATCAACTGCGAACAAGCCGCCTCTTCATATGGTCAAACTCGCAAACTCAAACTGACTTTCGCAGCCCAAATCCAACTCCCCGCCTTCGGTCGGCTCTTGGGTTGGCTCTGTAGTGGTTTCTTGTGCACCTTTCGGAGTCGCAGATGCCTGGCTGGCGAAAATGACCAAGAAAAAATGCTTCCGACTTGCCAATGTCTGACTGAAACAATATGAGAATGTACAAGTTGGAGTATATCATTGTAGTGGGCAGCCAGCAACAAGAACCCCAAAAAGGACGCCCGGTGCCTCGCATTCCTCGGCCGGATCTTTGGGCTGACGCTCGGCACCTCCCAAGTCTGACGGGGTTTCTGAGTGGTTCGAACACCTCCACAGCGGTTGATTTCAATCCCTAAATCTCCAGCGGTGCCTTCCGCCTCCACCTTTTGCAGCACGCACTCCTAAACGAACGTCGGGCTTCGTCTTGTCTTGCACGTCAGTGTGGGTAGACGTCTTTAGTCCACTTCTGCCGACAGTCGGAGCTTTGCTGATTATGTGTCAATCTCTTCATATTCTTTGAAAGAGATTGAAAGCGGTGCAGTTCGCCCAGCGGTCCTGGCATGCATGGAAGTAGCAGCCCTCGCTGCATCTGAAATGTGTCTGCCTGAAGTGGGGCCAGCCTGATTAGTTTTAAAATAACATACAATAACTATCGCAACATGTCCTAACTAACTAACCAATTAACATTAATTCAATTAATTATCTAACTTGCTCCCCTTTGCTTCACTCGTATGCCTTCAGAGATTGTATGTAACACATCGCCTCTGCTTGTCTCCCTTCAGGATCCAAAACCCCGCCTTTGGCACTTGCAAAACCCACACTGCTTCGGTGGGCCGTCGACCTCCTCCTCCGGCCTCGAGTGTCAGGGAAGTGCTGGCTCGTAAACCCCCGTCACCACTCACAAGAGCTTCTTCTTTCGACACAGCCACTGGGAGCTGTATAAGCATGTATATTTGCTTGTATTTGCACTTTTCTGTACGCAAAGCCACCAACTTCGCCTTGCAATGATTGCAATGCGAGATAATGTTGTGACTTACAATACCTTACCAGTATGCCTTCATTGAAGAAAAATCTTCTCAGATTCTTCTGAGGTGAACACTCCAGGGGGTGGCCTCGCAGACAGCGAGGACCTGGATCAAGCCATTGAACGTAATTTGCCAGCTCAGTCTACCATCATTCGCCGGAAAATGCTGCATACACTGATGCAAAAACGTGGAATATACAGGAAAACACAATTGGTCAAGGGAATCATTGATAAAATCACTGATTAAATTAAACATATTAAACATCTTGACTAAAATTGGTGACAAACCATTGGTAGTATCAATATGTATCAATGAATTCAACATTGTT